TCACGGGACTAATTAAAATAAATTAAAGAAATTAATGAAATTAATGAAATTAAAGAAATTAATTAATTTCTTTAATTTAGCACAGAGAGGCCCAGAAATTAAAGAAATTAATGAAATTATATAATTTCTTTAATTTCTCACGGAGAGGCCCAGAAATTAAAGAAATTAATGAAATTAATTAATTTCTTTAATTTCTTTAATTTCTCACAGAGAGGCCCAGAAATTAAAGAAATTAAAGAAATTAATTGGGGGGCCCCCCCCGGCTCACGGGACTAATTAAAATAAATTAAAGAAATTAATGAAATTAATGAAATTAAAGAAATTAATTGATTTCTTTAATTTCTTTAATTTCGCACAGAGAGGCCCAGAAATTAAAGAAATTAATGAAATTAATTAATTTCTTTAATTTCTTTAATTTCTCACAGAGAGGCCCCGAAATTAAAGAAATTAATGAAATTAATTAATTTCTTTAATTTCTTTAATTTTTCACAGAGAGGCCCAGAAATTAAAGAAATTAAAGAAATTAATTAATTTCATTAATTTCTTTAATTTCTTTAATTTCATTAATTTCTTTTAATTAGTCTCGCAAGCCCGAAGGGCTACCGGAATTAATTTCTTTAATTTCTTTAATTTCTCACAGAGAGGCCCAGAAATTAAAGAAATTAAAGAAATTAATTGGGGGGGCCCCCCCGGCTCACGGGACTAATTAAAATAAATTAAAGAAATTAATGAAATTAAAGAAATTAAAGAAATTAATAATTTCTTTAATTTCTTTAATTTCGCACAGAGAGGCCCAGAAATTAAAGAAAAAATTAATTAATTCTTTAAGAGAGGCCCAGAGCCCACAGAGAGGCCCAGAAATTAAAGAAATTAAAGAAATTAATTAATTTCTTTAATTTCTTTAATTTCTTTAATTTCTTTAATTTCTTTAATTTCTTTTAATTAGTCTCGCAAGCCCGAAGGGCTACCGGAATTAATTTCTTTAATTTCTTTAATTTGTCACAGAGAGGCCCAGAAATTAAAGAAATTAAAGAAATTAATTGGGGGGTGCCCCCCGGCTCACGGGACTAATTAAAATAAATTAAAGAAATTAATGAAATTAATGAAATTAAAGAAATTAATTAATTTCTTTAATTTCTTTAATTTCGCACAGAGAGGCCCAGAAATTAAAGAAATTAATGAAATTATTTAATTTCTTTAATTTCTTTAATTTCGCACAGAGAGGCCCGGAAATTAAAGAAATTAATGAAATTAATTAATTTCTTTAATTTCTTTAATTTCTCACAGAGAGGCCCAGAAATTAAAGAAATTAAAGAAATTAATTAATTTCATTAATTTCTTTAATTTCATTAATTTCTTTAATTTCTTTTAATTAGTCTCGCAAGCCCGAAGGGCTACCTGAATTAATTTCTTTAATTTCTTGAATTTCTCACAGAGAGGCCCAGAAATTAAAGAAATTAAAGAAATTAATTGGGGGAGCCCCCCCGGCTCACGGGACTAATTAAAATAAATAAAAGAAATTAATGAAATTAATGAAATTAAAGAAATTAATTAATTTCTTTAATTTCTTTAATTTCGCACAGAGAGGCCCAGAAATTAAAGAAATTAATGAAATTAATTAATTTCTTTAATTTCATTTATTTCCCTAAGAGAGCCCCAGAAATTAAAGAAATTAAAGAAATTAATAGGTAAATAAATTAAATTCCTCATACAAGTGATATACGTGAAATGGACCCAAAAGGTCCCTCTCACATATATATATATATACATAGCCCTCACCCTGAGAAGCCCCTTTTCTTTGCCCTGTGGGCGCAGGCCCCAACTGGCACGGCATGCCGGTCCAAGGGGCCCCCTTCTTCTGCCAGGTTCTTAGTAGGGGGAATGAGGGAATTAGGGCCATGATGTAGTATATATGTATTTAGGGCCCTATATTATATCTATATCTATCTATATATATATATATACACATGTATATATACCCTTTAAGGGATTCCGCAGGGTACTTCATGCCCTCACTTCCTACATAAGAACCCGCCAGTCTTCTGCTGCAGGCTGCGGGAAGATTTCCCAGCGCTCAAACCGAAGAACTCTTGCAGGGAGAGTTTGGGTCTTTCGTGCCCAGCGCTTCTAACTACTGCTCATGAATAATTTACTATAACTACATATATATATATAAACAAAGCAATCTAGCAACGTGTATATATATATACTTGTTCTCTCTCTCTCTCTCTCTCTCTCTCTCTCTCTCTCTCCTCTCTCCCTCTCTCCCTCTCTCCCTCTCTCCCTCTCTCCCTCTCTCCCTCTCTCCCTCTCTCCCTCTCTGCCTCTCTCCCTCTCTCCCTCTCTCCCTCTCTCCCTCTCTCCCCCTCTCTCCCTCTCTTTCGCTTTCACTGCCTTGCATAGTTCTTGAAGGAACGTAGACTGGATAGGGACGCGCACAAGGTTCTTTCTCCGGCTCTTGCTTGGTCATGCTTGGGACTTCAGTCTTGGGGCTGCGCGACATACCTTTCAGAGAGAGGGCGGGAGGGAACTAGGCACAGCATGTAATCCCTTAAAAGGTAGACCTCCGACATAATCCCTTAGAGGGTAGGTATCCCCAAAACCTAAACCCTAAACCCTACACCCTAAACCCTAAACCCTAAACCCTAAACCCTAAAGTAGGTTTAGGAAGATATCTGGCGCCTTCGTCAGTTGTTCCCTCCTACTAAGAAGCAGAAGAAGGAGCCTGCAGTCTAGGGGCCCGAAGCCTCAAAGCCCAGACTTGACCCTGTCGCCCTCAATGATACATCCTAAGCCAGTTAGGGTTTAGGGTTTAGGGTTTAGGGTTTAGGTGTTAGTGTTTAGGGTTTATAGGGTTTAGGGGTATCGTTCAGATTCAAGCCGATTCCCCAAAGGTTGCGCAGGGCCTACACAATGTGGAGCAACCCGCGACTCCCTGCGGAGCCAAGGTTCTTGAAGGTTCATGGGTACTTAGAAGTAGGGTCATAAGCACCCTAAATAAGGTTATAACCATAGCTACCCTACTTATAACCCTACTTATATGTAGGGCTCTCTAAGTACCCTTAATAAGGTTATAACCACAGTTACCCTACTTATAACTCTACTTATATGTAGGGCTCTAAGTACCCTAAATAAGGTTATAACCGTAGCAGCCCTACTTATAACCCTACTTAGAAGTACCCATGAACCCCAAGTTGGGCAGCCTGAGTATTTGCAGGAACTCGGCCCGCTGAATCCGACAAAGCGGCCGAAATTTCTTGAAATCGTTAAACTCTGCGAAAATATGGTGGTTTCCGAAATTCGGGTACCTTATTGGGCTCCTTGTTAAAAGGGAATTCCTACTATTTGGGGGGGGGGGGGGGTCTACTTTTGGGGGCACCGGATTTTCGCAAAAACCCCATATCTTGGGGCTCCAAGTATTGCGATCGGAGCCAGCCCTGGGCGTGAAACGAAGGGACCTTAAACCCTTAAACCCCTTTACCCTGACCCCAAGACCTCAAAACCCCGAAGCCCAAATCCCTAAACCCGATAAGCCGTAAGACCCTCAACCCTAAACACGAGGGCCCTAAACCCTAAACACTAAACCCTAAACCCGAAACCCAAAACCCTAAACCCTAAACCGGAGTACTGGCCAGGGCTGGTCCGGAGAAGCACGGCCCCGGCGCAGCATCAGCCTGACGGACCAAAGCAGAGCCCACTCTCAAAGGGTGAGGGTCTAGGGTTTAGGGTTTAGGGTTTAGGGTTTAGGGTTTGGGGTTTGGGGTTTGGGGTTTGGGGTTTGGGGTTTGGGGTTTGGGGTTTAGGGTTTACAAGGTTGGGGTTTATAGGGTTTGGGGTTGATCGGCTTTATAGTGTTTGGGGCTTAGGGCTTATGAGGCCTTTGTTGCCCTCGAATATCTGAGCCGTAAAGGGCCCCTGTCCCCTAAACCCCCAACAAGCCCCAAACCCTAAACCCTAAACCCCCATAAAGGCCTTCCAGCACAAGCCGCCCCAAACCCTAAACCCTAAACCCTAAACCCTAAACCCTAAACCCCAAACCCCAAACCCTAAACCCTAAACCCTAAACCCTAAACCCCTTCAGCCCGGAACCGCTAGGCCGTACACCTCCTAAGCCCTGAACGTTCACAGTCAAGCCCCTAGCCCAGAAACTTCAGACCTTTCTCCCCTAAAACCTATGAACCCTATAAACCCTATACACCCTATACACCCAAAAAAACCCTAAAAAACTCTGTAAACCCTACAAACCCCAACTCTATGAACCTTTTCAAGATTACGGCTGTACATGTTTTCAGGTTGCATCAGAGTCATGTAAGGTAGATTTTCTGTAGTACACATGCTTTCAAAGAAACATGTAGGTTACTTCAGGTTAAAACCTCAAACCTTGGGAAGATCCCCCTTATACTAGCAGTCCTTCACAGGGATTCTGAGCAGGGGTACTCTCATCCTTTTAAGGACTGTTAGCATAAGGGGAACATCCCAACCCTAAACCCTAAACCCTGAACCCTAAACCCTAAACCAAGGGGAACAACCCAAGGTTTAAACCCCAAGCCCCCTCAAAATCCAAACAAGCAGTCTTGAGCCTCGGGTTCGCGTCGGGGTGCTGGCCTCACAGCATGGCCAATCTCACATTCAACGTGCCTAGACACCAAAGTACCCATGACCCGATAGTATAGACCCTAAACCCTAAACCCTAAACCCCAAACCCTAAACCCTAACTAGCAACAAAGGCCACAAACAATAAATAGGAGCCTCCAATTCCACAGAAGCCCCTACCAGTCTCTCGCGGCCCTCAGCGCCTCAACGCATTCGACATTCTCAGATAAATAAACTAATTAACACCTATATACATATATATATATATACATGTATACATGTATATATGTATATATATATATACATATATATGTATACATGTATATATATACACACCATCTTAGCCTTCAGATCCAGATTCTAGATCCTGCCTACCGGAAACCCGAAATGCAGCACTAGTCCCTGAGCTAATCCTTGAAGAGAACACGGCCTCGGCCATGCACCGGGCAACCACCATTCCTCCCCGGAGCTGCACCTCACAGGCCGTGCTTTCGAGGAGCTCGGACTTTTAGGATTCCACGTGGGTTTAGGGTTTAGGGTTTAGGGTTTCAACTGAAGTCGGGAGTGGTGAGTTTTGGAGCCATTGTTTGCATCTGATGTGGCGTAAGTCTCTGCTTTGAGGCTACGGGGGGGTGGGGGCTGGCGGGGGGGCAATCTGCATTGCTGTACTTCGCCACCTGCACCTGAACTGGTGTAGTATATAACTATGACCCTAAAAAGGAACTACGTTAGAGCCTGCAGGTACCCCTTCTTTGGTACAGGACCCCAAACAAGCCGCCAAGAGCAGGTTGAACGCGTACGGAGCTCTCAGCAAAGCCCTGCGGAGCTTTGCAACTTGAGGGTGTGGGGCTAAGGGTATAGGACGGTTTAGGGTTTAGGGCTACTGTCCCGAGAAGCACCGCATCAACAACACTCGCCTGGGCAGCTCCGCTGGGGAATCCTGCAATGCAGGCAAGGCTGCCTTAAGAACCCAAGAAACTACGACTTTTTTGTAGGGTACCTAAAAAATCCAATGGATTTTATAAAAATAATAAGCGTTCTTCATGTGGGCTTGTTGCCGAAGGTCTTGGATCATTCTCTTGTTGAGAATTTGAAGCTAAAAAGAAACCCTAAACCCAAAACCCTGAACCGCTGTAACTTTGGTGGCCGCAAAAACAACTATAAGGACCATGGGGAAGATCATGGGGCGGATAGCTTGAAAGGTACCTGCGTGCAATGCGCAGCATTCCTTGAAGGTCTATAGATCCGTGCCAGTTGCATTACCTGCTTGACACCTGGAATATTTCGGCAAACCCTAAACGGCCCTAAACCCAAAACCCTAAAACATGCAGGATAGGTTCGGGGCTGCATGAGCAGAAGCGAGGCAGCAAGTTGGCGATGTTGAGCTCTGGCGCCGCTATTACTGAGCCTTAAGCCTTGACATTCCGGAGTCCTGCAAAGACAAAGCCTCCCCAATAGCCTGAGTGAATACACTCTTAGTGCTTGCCACACTGCCAACCCTAAGCCCCAGACGCTTGAAGAACAAACTGCCCCAGTGATTGGCACCATTTGACGGGCAAGGCGGAAAGCATCGTGAGCGATTGGCAAGGAGGCGAGCATCATGAGCATCATCTGGGTGTTGGTCTGGCCACACCGCCGCCCCCTAAGCTCCAGAAGCTTGCAGAACAAACTGCCCCAGTGATTGGCACCATTTAACGGGCCAGGAGGCGAGCATCATGAGCATCAGCTGGGTGTTGGTCCACACCGCCCCCTAAGCTCCAGACGCTTGCAGAACAAACTGCCACAGTGATTGGCGCCACTTGGCGGGCCAGAAGGCGAGCATCATGAGCTTCAGCTGGGTGTTGTTCTGCCCACACCACCCGCTAGCAGGGTGTTGTTCTGGCCACACCGCCCCCTAAGCTCCAGACGCTTGCAGAACAAACTGCCCCATTCTCATTGGCGCCGCGGCGCCGTTTGGCATCAGCTGGGTGTTGTTCTGGCCACACCGCCGCCCCCTAAGCTCCGGACGCTTGCAGAACAAACTGTCCCAGTGATTGCCGCCGTTTGGCGGGCCAGGAGGCGAGCATCATGAGCATCAGCTGGGTGTTGTTCTGGCCACACCGCTTGCAGAACAAACTGCCCCAGTGATTGGCGCCATTGGGCGGGCCAGGAAGCGAGCGCCTAAGTGATTTTGGGCCATTGCACAAACGAGCATCACATGCATCAGCTGGGTGTGGTTGTACATGAGCATCAGCTGGGTACTGCTCTAGCCGGTCCCCTAAGCCTCATACACGCTTGCTGCGCTGCCGTCAGGTGCATGCGGGTATCTGTGGCCTCCACCATCCGCCAGGAGTTCTCTAAGTCCAGCCGCTGGCGCACGGCGCTGCTGCCCTGACAAAGCAACTCAGGTTGACGGATTCAACAACTCAAGTAGAGGACCCTAAGCCCTAAACCCTAAGCTCAAAACCTTTTTGGGTTCATGGTTCAGAGTTTAGGGACCACCGCAAAAGGAAGGCCCTCATCTCCTATCGCTCGCCTCATGTCACAAAGCTCAATCACGCTGTTCTGGATGTCATGAATCATAGGTCTACACAACAGGGACCATAATTCCAGATTACACATGAGAGCATACAACCTTGCCGATTGCTGGTTACCCTTGAAGGAACCAAGGAAGCTGAACCCCCTTTCGAGGCGCGGAAGTCTTGCAACACATGATGATCTAGCCCCAACTTAGGTTTAGGGTTTACAGAGCTACAAAGGTTTCAAGGTTTGTAAAGGGCTTACATTTACTACAGGGCTTATATGGTTTATAGGGTTTAGGGTTTATAGGGTTGAGGGGGTTGATAGTGTTTAGAGGGTTTAGGGTCCTCTGCAGAATGGAGGCCCTGTCAGGTGGTCACTCCCAGGGGCCTGACATGGCCAAGGTAAGATCCGATTTAGGGTTTAGGGTTTAGTTTTAGGTTTATAGGGTTTGGGGTTAAGGTTTAGGGGTTAAGTTTAGGGGTTAAGGGTTAGGGTTTAAGGCTTAGGGTTTAGGATTTAGCGTTGCTTTTCCCTCCTGCGCAGCTGGGGTTTAGGGTGCCCAGAATGCCTTGTGTTCTGCAGAACCCTGCTCCCTAGGCTCTGCCGACAATCCGCACAAAATACAAGGGGTCCCCAACAAAGAGCCTTTGAAGAACTAACCCCTAAACCCTAATCCCTAAACCCTAAACCCGAAACCCTAAACCCCGAAACCCGAGCACCTCGTAACCCAGCGGGACAAAGTGGGCGTCCAGACCTCGTGAGGCACTCGACTCCGGGACTTGGGAGCGTTTAGGGTTTAGGGTTTAGGGTTTAGGGTTTAGGGTTTAGGGTTTAGGGTTTAGGGTTGAGGTTTCAGGGTTTAGGGCTTAGGGCTCAGACTTCGCCTGAAACTCCAAAATGCATTTAGTTTGGGGGGGGGGGGGGGGGGTGGTTGGGCCGTCCATGAAGTGCAATAAGGATCCTAAGAAAATGTAAGGCATAGAAAACCCTAACACCAAAAACCTACCTTATCGCGGGATGCGGCAGTCTCTGCGGCGTGTGTTCTGTGTTCATCTTTAACACGAAACGGGAGGAGGTCCCTGAAATGGTCTGTGGTTACCGTTTAGGGTTTAGGATTGAGGGGTTAGGGTTCCTAAACCCTAAACCCTGAACCCTAAACTAGGGCTTAGGGTTGTTGCATCAGGGTGCAGGGTTTATAAGGGGAGGGTTTATAAAGGTACTTGGAGGTCAGATAACCAGACCCCTTTGTTAAGCCTAAACCCTCAAAAAAAACAGGGAACACGGCCCTACGATAAGGCCATGCTTCAGGAGATCCAGGGCTTGTTTATAGTGTGCCAGGGTTTAGAGTTTGCCCTAAGGGTCCAGGTACTGCATTCTTGTATACTTGGGCCCCAAAGTCCTTACATAGGAAGTACATTGAGGCCCAAGTATTCCCTTCTAAACCCCAAACCCTAAACCCAGGTACAGAGAGTTGGCACGAAAAGGATTTTAGGGTTTTGGTTTAGGGTGCCGGAATTGAGAAGCTTAACAAGGCAAGCTAGACCAGAGCCAGCCAGGACTGCTCAACCTGCGACTCTACTGTTCAGAGTGTCAGTTGGCATCAATGTTTCTCTGGCTTAGAAGGTGCAGGTAGGGTTTCCTGAACTTCCTGCCGTGCTTGCTGGGGCCCGGGCGAAGGACGATGCCTGAGGCAAGTGCTTTTGTACTTGTGCCTGCATTATCTACAAACCCTAGTACCGACGTCCTGCAACCTTAGGATAAGGATAAGGCTTGGGCGTTTAGGGCAGAGGTACGCAGGCACCATCAAGCAGAGCCGGCATGAAGTTAGCTTAATTGCTGGCTTCTCGAGCTTTTGACGCTCAATCACCTCCCTAACCCCTAACCCCTGAATACAATCCCCTGGATAAAGACCCCCCCCCCCCCCCCAAAAAAAAAAAAAAAAAACACTATTTCAGTGCAGGGGACATTTGAGGGTTTTTGGCCCCGGACCCCCCTTGGAGCCTCCGTCGCCTGTCTGATTACAAGGCAATGAAAAAGGCTGTAGGTCATCGTTACCACACTGTGTGCTGGTTGAAGTTCTCCAAGCTTATGTATCACTACATGCACGCCCACTTTCCTTTACTCCCCTCAGAACCTTGATAACAATAATATCTTTACTATCCTCTTGGGTGTTTTATATAAACAAAAATTTTAAAATAGTTCCCAAGGGTGATATAGTTTCAAGGTGCGTCAACCGCATGAGCAGCTCCCTGCAGCCGGATTGCTACGAAAGAGGTCCCGCATCTCCACGAGCACATGGCCATCACCCCTGGGGCGGAAGCTTGCAAACCCCGATGCCCAATGTCTGCATTTGCCACCCCAAGCCCGCAACCCTCAACCCTCAACCCTCAACCCTAAACCCAAAACCCAAAACCCTAAGCCCTAAACCCTAAACCTAAACCCTGGCCCCTAACCCCTAAACCCTAGCTGACTGTGCCACTCCCAGAAGCATTCGGGCTTTGGGCTCCGGTCCCTTCTCTGGGTGTTGAGGCTTCTTTTGGATCTTGCTGGGTTCGGTCTTCTTAGGGCACATGACTTGTGCACTAAGTGCAGGTCCCTAAACCCATCCTAGACAGGGCTCGACCTTCGCGTCCACCTCCCTGTTTAAGCAAAGGGGGGCCGGCCGATTGGCTTTTGGCCGATGGTCGGGACATATTTCCCTGCCTAGACCGAACAATCCCAAAGCCTGCAATGAAAACTGTGCTGGCTAATTAGCTACAAAACCCTGTCAGCCCAGAATCCTTTTTGAAACCCCTAAATGCCACAGACACGCACACCCAGTTTATTACGCAGAACATACCACTCATTTGACCTACGCATCCTGCAAACTTTAACCCTAAACCCTAAACACTTCTTCATCTCATTCCATTTTCGCCGCAGGACCTCAGGTTGTGGAAGTGTGCCCAGCTACCCAGGAGCGCCAGCACTGTCGCGACCTCCAAGGGCACTGGTTCAGGGTTCATGGTTTACATTGACCCACGACCTACTCTTTGTAGGTCGCCTACGAATCCTGGACGGGGTATTCATATGATCAACAACAAAAGCAAGGGTTAAGGCGGCGCTTTAGGTTTTAGGGCTTCCCTCTGTTGGTGGTTCAAGGATCCGTGCTTTTTGGGGTGGTTATTGCGTGTGCGCAGGTGGGTGTGCTACATTGTTTCATGCTGTCTCGGGTTGGCTGCCGTGTGTGCGCAGATACGTGCTTCCTCGGCGGATCCTGGGCCATGAGCCCTTACGTTTCATGCTAGCAGCCCAGCTGGATATGGGTACTTTTCATGGGGGTACCCTGAATATACCCCCCAAAGAGAAGCATTATATCATCCTTCTTATAGGAACCCCCACAAAGGGTGCCCCTATCTTCGGAAACCCCCATATGTGGCCGGTTGTCGCAAAAACAGAGGCGTCAATCCCCGCAACCCTAAACCCTAAACCCTAAACCCTAAACCCTAAACCCTCAGAAAAAGCCTCGGCGAAAGTGTCGTGAAGCTCCGCGTCGAACGGATCGGGCACCTTGCCGGGCATATTTTATATTTTGGGATGTTGCCAGCTTATACCAACAGTCCTTATTGGGGATGACCATTTTAGGGTTTAGGGTTCAGGGTTTAGGGTTTAGGGTTTAGGGTTTAACAGTCCTCAATAGAGATTACAGTACCCCCTACTATAATCACTATTACAGTAAGGACTGCTCGTATAAGGGGGAACATCGCAAGGCGCATTCAGAGTGTGAAGTAGGGCTTTACTTGTCACAGCAGTATCCCCAAAACACCACAATGTTCGCCAGGAACCCTGTGAACCCTGCTTCACATCACCTTCGAACACGTTGGCTTCCCAAACTCTCAGCTTACTGGTGCTCAGTAAAAGAATAAGGTACCCCACATAAGGTACCCCACATAATCCCTCAAGGGGATACAACCCTAAACCCTAAACCCTAAACCCTAAACCAGATATAATAGGGGGATATATATAAGGTGCCGCATTGCCTACAAAGAACGAGGCGGGTCCAAGTTCAGAGGCGGCGCTCCAGTTGAGGGTTTCGGGCTTCCTCGCACACTGTCGCACACGGCAGCTAAAGGTTTAGGGTGTAGGATTTAGGGTTTTAGGGTTTCAGGGTTTCAGGGTTTCAGGGTTTCAGGGTTTCAGAGTTTTAGGGCTTTAGGGGTTAGGGTTTAGGGTTTGGGGTTTAGGGTTTAGGGTCACTTGTTTCAACCCGCCTGCTCGCCCAAGCCCCCACTCGAATCAGCCATAAGGGCCTTGGCACTTAGGTTTGAAGGTCTTTCTTCGGCGCTGTCTCTGATATCTGAGCAACTGAGCGCGACTGCACTGTGAACCAGCACATCATCGGAGGGTTTGGGGTTTGGGGATTAGGGTTTCAGGCATTCCGTCTGAATCGTTTCGATCGCCAAATCTGTGTCCTCTTCAAGCCTACGAAGTGGAGCTGACGAACTCAACACCCCCGAACCCCGACAGCCTACATCCTGTACTGGAATCCCAGTCTTCAACCCAAGTCCAGAGAACTCCCAGCAGCACAACCAGCTTGAGACCCAACTCAAACGAACCTCTCTGAGATTTTCAAGCAGCAACGACCCAAGCACGCCGAACTCCCCAACCCTCACGCCCTAAACCTCAACAGCCAAAAAGACACTCGAATTCACAAACCCTCAGCTCCCCAAACCTAAGCCCCAACTCTTCAAATCCCAACCCTGCACCATAAAAAACAAAATGTATATCATAATAATAATAACAATAATAGTAATAATAATAATAATAAACCACATGCGGTTGCCTCGGCTGCCTCCAGTAGGCTGTACGACTGAGCACCTCTGCAGAGAGCATCGGAGAGCCCATAGAATTAATTGGGCGCAACTACGTAGGGGTAAAAGGAGGGGCCCCTAGAAGGGATTCTTAATCTTACTCCCCTATATAACCCCTATATATATATATATGCCCCTAGAAGGGGTCCTTAATCTTATATATAACCCCCATATATATATATATATATACCTTATATAGTTAATAGGGCGCGACAAATGGGCCTGTAGCCAAAAAAGGCAGGTTTGTGCCGTGGTATTGGGGGCACGTGCCTGGGACGAAAACCCACTTGAACCTAGAAAGCTAGCTATATCCCTGGACCCTGAAAAGCGATTCCATGAGGCCCATGCATCGCCTGCAGGCTTCCCAAAACCCTAAACCCTAAAGCCCAAAGCCCCTAAAGTGTGGTCTGAAAGCATAACTCATGGTTCCACCCAATACCCTGGCACTTTTTAGGGTTTAGGGTTTTAGGGTTTAGTTGCCAAGGTCCCCCCAGTACGGGCTCTGAATTTGGGAGCCCTTCCCTTCGATACCCATGTACCGCATACAAACCCAAGGGGCCCATACTTCAGAACGCTTTGAGGGACCATGTTCAGGGAACATGTAACCAGCCTTACCTGGGACTATAAACAACATGGTTGCAGCATGCAAAGCTATGAAGGTCTACTTGCCTCTCTGCTCAAACCTTGCACAGGTTGAGCCTGTTATTGATGTTAAGGCATTGCAATCAGCGGACGTGACTTCATGCAGATCCCTGCAGAAGCTCTGGCCTCCTGTCTGCTAAAACAATATGGCCTCTCATGTTTGAGCAGCTTTACATGAAGAGCACTGGCGCACAGCAAAGCAAAAAGTCTTTGCCCACCTCGGTTGCAAGTAGTACGAGCTGACACCACAATAGAGAGACCAATGCCCTTCGGGCACAGTAGGTCAGCAATCGTCGAAAACTGCACAGGGTTGACCAAGCTGGTACCGCCGTGCCCGTCGATCATGAGCGCCGCTCTGAAAGCAGAGTGCGCACAGTCATTCACGGAAACGACAAAAGGGGCAGCATGGCATGCAGCTTAAACCTATACAATATAGGGGCTTGCTTTGAATTAGAGCAGGGCTTTGGGGGTCATTATGGTACAAGTATATAGGGACCAGAAGCATAAGGGAATACTACTAGTAACTATTACGAGCCCTATATTAACATCAAAACCTGATCCTGCTCTGCAGGTCTGGTAGCTTTCGGCACTAGCAGTGCTAAGCTTCGAGGTCCGGAGTCTAAAGTCCTGCCTCCTTGCTGTCTGCAAGACGCTATCCCTCGCGGAGGAAGGCAGGGCAGAGGCCACGAAGAGCTCGCCGACGAGAGCATCGGTTGCTGTTGAGACCTAGATGCTGGAGATGGCAAGGAGCTTCGCATTGTCCATGACGGCATTTCGCGTAGTCTCTCCGGAGAACTCTGCTGCCTTGGCAAAGAGCATCTGGGACAGCTAGTTACACCACAGATCTGGTCTTTTTGTGAGAGTGGAGTGCTTGAATGCGACCTGACAAACCTTTAACCCCAAACCCTAACCAGGTCACCAGGGTCGCTAAGAACCCAATACACCCGAATGCACCCCCCGCCCCCCACTGGTTTAATGTGATGAGGCGTTGCGTGCTCTGCAATTTTCGGAAGCATGGGCTTCTTCGACCCCAAAGCCCTAAACCCCTAGAACAGCTTTTTGTTGGTTCCAAGGTGCAAGGCTCCCCTAAACCGAAACCCTAAACAGCTAAAAACCCTAAACATCCTTAAATTAGGGTTTAGGGTTTAGGGTTTAGGGACCCTGATCCCAACCCTCCTTGATCCGGCGCGCTAGCCCAAGGATTCGTGCTCTTTGTTGGCACAACGGCAGCGGTAGCAGCGCAGAGCGGCCTCGAAGGTTTTGCAGGGGCTTTGTAGAGTATAACTAAAGTGAAAAGAGGGTTTAGGGTTTAGGGTTTAGGGTCTAGGGTTTAGGGTTTAGGGTTTATTCCTTGGCTAGCTGTTTATTCCAGGTTGTCTGTTCCACCTGCGGTAAACCGTTTAGAGGGTTAATAGTTTGTAGGGTTTGCTTGTTGGCTTCATACGGCTTGTAGGGTGGAGATGCATCCGCGCTCTACGTTCCGCCCTATATCCTAAAAGCCGGGAAAAGAGGAGGGGGGTTGCCTGTCGGGGTGTAGGCCCTGAGGCTTCTTCTGACACAAGAGTTACGGCTCTTGCAAGTATCGGGTTTACTTTCATAAGGTTTGGGGCTCCACATGGGGGGTTTTGAGCCGTTTTGCTGTGTGGGGTTTAGGGTCTAGGGTCTAGGGTTTGGGGTTTAAGGTTGGGGTTTAGGGTTTAGGGGTTGCCTTCCCACCCTGCCTGCGCCAGCGCCATGTCTCCACCTGCAGATGCCGGGTTCGAGTCAGTTTAGGGCTCGAGAAATTTGATGTGACACTAAGGTTTGTGGACTCTAAGAGGTCTCTGAAAACACCTGGAAACACCAAACTCTGTAAGTTGTCTGCAACGGTAGGCGGGATCTGGCATTCAATGTCTGCGTACGTGACTATCTGAAAAGTCCCACGTCGGGCCTCAGCCACCCCCAACGCCAGGCCATCTTCGATAGCCACTGCACTGGTCGCAGCCTGCCAAACAGGTTTCTTGGGTTTAGGGTTTAGGGTTTAGGGTTTAGGGTTTAGGGTTAGGCTTTAGGGTGTTAGGAGCGCATCTCTTGCCCTCTGCCATCTCCTTGCGCAGTCTCGCTTCTAACACGACGGTCTTCAGAGCCTTCGGGTTCACGGAAGGTTGAAAGGCCTACCTGAAGCCAGCAAAAGTAGTCAAGCCGAACGATGCAAACATGTGACTGTCAGTGCTTTCGTGTCCGCGAGGGGGTTCGATCAAGGGACCCTTCCTCACAAACCCCAATCTGGACTCTCTTTACCCTTAGCGCTCTAAAGACGAAGCCCTTAGCATGGTCATGTCCCGGCCTCGTGACGAATGCCGAGTAAGAACACTGCGAAGCGAGACGAGCAGCAGTGGTGACTACACCCTAAACCCTTCACCTTCACCCTCCAAACCCGCAATCTAACCTCTAAACCCTTAACCCCTAAACCTAAACCCTAAACCCTAAACCCTGAACCCCAAACCCTAAACCCAAAACCCTTAAACCCTTAAACCCAAACCCTAAACCCTAAACCCTAAACCCGAAACCCGAAACCCGAAACCCCAACTCCAATTTGTTGAAGGACTTAGCCCGGACCGCTGCCAATTCTCCGAGCCTTTGCAGCGGCCACGCAGCGTGCCACAAAGATCCTCCTGCAGAGATTTCGCTGCATTTTTGTTCCCTAAACCCTAAACCCTAAACCCTAAACCCTAAACCTAAAACCCTAAACTCTACACCCTAAACCCTAAACCCTAAACCCTGTGTAGGTGGAAAAATAAGGGAGGGTTGGGCTTAAGAGCCAACTGTAGCCCCGTCTCAGCATGCATACGGAAACAAACTAACAAGCGTTGTTTGCTGCTCAAGAAAGCAGTATCTCTGTGTGTGGTGTGTGTGTGTGTGAGAGTGGGTGGGTGGGTGCGTGGGTGCGTGGGGCCACTGTAAATGCCCAGAGCAGATAAACCTGGCACAAGGACCTAGCCGCGGCGGCCACACCCTAAAAATGTGTCCATGGAACTGAATGCACTGTAGAGATGCGCCTGGTCTCTGCACGATAAAGGCTTCGCAGTGTGTTCCAACCCTAAACCCTAAACCCTAAACCCTAAACCCTAAACCCTAAACCCTAAACCCTAAACCCTAAACCCTAAACCCTAAACCCTAACACTTCCAAGCACATGTCGATCGAGCTCCAGGTCGCCTTAAATTAGAAAGCCAAACCTGGGAAGTCCGGATGTTCCCCCCTTATACTTAGTGGGGATTAGTAGTACCGCCGACTGTAATCCCAATTAAGGATTTGGCTTAACTAGGGTTTAGGGTTTAGGGTTTAGGGTTTAGGGTTTAGGGTTTAGGGTTTAGGGTTTAGGGTTTAGCTGTTAGTATAGGGGGGTTAACATCCCAACCTGATAGCCCAATTGAACGTCGCCCCGCCAAGATGGCAGTCCTCTGGCGCAGATGGGTCGTCATCACCTGGCTTGGTGCAACGGTAAGCACTGGCTTTAGGGTTTAGGGTTTAGGGTTCAGGGTTTAGGGTTTCGGGCTTTGGGGTTTAGGGTTTCGGGCTTTGGGACGTTGGGCGCAGGTCCTTGGATTAACGGCTTTCTGCCACTGACGAAAGGCAGGATTTGGGAATCCGTCATGAACGCCGACGATCTACTGATAATTCCCAAATACCCAGGCTCCGACAGCCCCCAAAACCCTGAAAACCTAAAACCCTAGATACCCCTACACCTCCCCCCCCCCAAAAAAAAAAACACACAAAGTTTAACTAATACATCAACAAGCCGATTAAGCTCAAACCCGGAACTTGAAACCATGAGCCCCACCCCACGGCGGGCGTAGTTAGGCTTTTGGACCAGCAGTTCAGTCTTGGGGTCCCAAATCGCTCGTTTTAGGGGAGCTTGGCGGCAGCCACCACTCTGCCCCTAAGGGTCCATGTACCTCATTACTGTATACTCAAGCCCCAAAGTCCCTAGACGGGAAGCTGAGTACGTTAAGGCCCAAGTATTCCCTTTTTAGGTACATGGACCCTAAACCCCGCACCACCAACCACAAGCCCCAAACCCCAAATCCTAACCCCTAAACCCTATACCCTAAACCCTATATACCCTAAACCCTATACCCTATACCCTAAACCCTATACCCTAAACCCTATACCCTAAACCATAAACCCTTAGACCCTTAGGGTGCTCTTCAAGACCTCAGAGAGGCCTGGGCGTGCAGGAGAGCAAGTCACAGGTGCTGCAAGCTTGCCAAACGAAATTCCCGAAAGGAAACAGCAAAGGCACATACTCATCATACTAACAGGGTTGAGGGTTTAGAGTTTAGGGTTTAGGGTGTACTTCTACTCACATCTCCTGAATAGGGATTATAGTACTCCCCCCCCCCCCCCCCCCCCCCCCCCATTGTAATCCCGATTAAGTTCTGTTAGCATAAGGGGGAACATCCCAATGCCGACGCTTGCAGCACGCCTCGACTCGAACCTCTAAACTACCTCGAAAGTCCGAAGAGTTGCCCCAACCCTTACCCCTAAACCCTGAGCCCTGAACCCCTGAACCCTGATCCCTGAACCAAACCCGAAACCCAGCTGATGTGCAGCCCACCTCGGATGGGGCCCTTTCGCTGGGATACTGTCTCAGACGAAATACCTTTGGGCCAGAGCGCAGCTTAATGAGGGATCGGGGTTTAGGGTTTAGGGTTTAGGGTTTCGGGTTTACTTGGGATGAATAGGGCTAATTGCCTGGGATACTTCTAGTAGGGATCCTTTCTAGTACACGGGTACTAGAGGAGAAGAAGTATACCTTAAGGAATTGCAGGTGGGGGTTGCAGGGGGATCAGTCATAAGTGCTGGGCTAGGGTGGAGGGTTTAGGGTTTAGGGTTTAGGGTTTAGGGGAAGCTCTGCTAGCAGAGCCTTCGGAAACTCCATCTCGTTGGCTTCGTTGCAAATCAACTACTTCTAAACATGGGGGAACATGTTTTTCCGGCTACTAAGTGAGGGAAAATATGTTCGAACAAATCCTGTCGTTTTGAGGTGGCCAAGAGGTTCTTCCTCCCGCCTTGGCAGTCCCCCAACCCGAACAAAACAAACAATTAAAACGTTGTTGAAGGCTATTTGCGCAAATTTCATTTTGCTAGTCGGGCACGTGTATAGGTTCCCTAAACCCTAAACCCTAAACCCTAAGTTGTAGCAAATTTCAGGGCCCCATGATCATCACGCTCAGCTACTATTTGTTGAAGAACCCCGGCGAAAAAAAAAAACTACACTACCCTTAACAAGGAGAAATATCTTTGTGTTTTTCGGGGGTTCTTAAGCCCCAGAACCCTAAACCCTAAACCCTAAACCCTAAACCCTAAACACTCTCTTTCATATATATATATATATGTATGTATATATATATATACATATATATATATGTATGCTTTCGTATTTATTTATATTTTTGTATTAAAACCTTAATGAATCCGTCGGCGAGGCCCAAATTTGGCCCCCCCAACCTTCATGGATTCGTCGGCAAGGCCCAAATTTTGAGCCTTGCCGACGAATTCGTCGGCAAGGCCAAGTTGGGTCTTAAATGCGTCGGCAAGGCCCAATTTGAGCTAAACCTTAACGAAATTCGTCGGCAAGGCCCAAAATGCGCCTTGCCGACGAATATCCGAAAAATGAAAGTGAAATATTTTCTTAATGCTATGGGACTCTTCGGGCGGGTGGGTATTTTTCCAACGCTCGAGTAATTGCTTGACTAGTGAATGCTTGGAAGTGAGATGCTAAAACCCTAAACCCTAAACCCTAAACCCCTAAGCAACTAGTAGTCAGGGCACTCACCACCGGGCCCTCTTTGACCGCTTCCTCAGTGCAGGGGAACTGCCAGACACCCAACTCCGAGCCCACGAGGTTGAGGAATTTCTTCGTAGAGGTTTAGGGTTGAGGGTTCATAGGGTTTAGGGTTTAGGGTGTAGGGTTCATGGGGTTTAGGGTTTAGGGGTTTAAGGTTTCGGGTCAAAGCCTCTAAGGCGTGATCCCGAACCAAGCACGGCAGCGCCGAGACCCAAATCTAAACTCGGGGTCGAGACTGCAGCAAAGTTGTCCGACAACCTTGCTTATGCTCTGTTGAGAGTCCCTGAGTCATGATGTCCCTTAGAATGACTCCTGACTTCTCCGCAAGAGTCCCTCTTGAAACGGCCGGCCATTGGGACCCTATAGTTGAGAAGAGCTCCTACGGATACACCCGAGATTCTCAGAGCCGAAGGCCTCTTGAAATGAAGGAGCTTCAAAGGCTCAACTCAAGGACTACTTCGTTTCGTTCACTTTCAATTCCGCAGGCTCTCAAATACAGGGAGGTGCCCCTGCTTGGGGGGGGGGGGGGGCACAAAAGGCTAACCCTAAACCCTAAACCCCAAACCCTAAACCCTAACCCTAAGCCGCGGCTAAGGCTCAAGGAAAGAAGCAACAAAAACTCAAGCCTCGCCCAGAAGCTGTACCGTAAGCCTGGAATCCTGCAAGCAAGTTCTAGGGATCGAAGGTTGCTCACGTTTTTCTGGGCTCTGGCCCCGTTAGCCCTAAACCCAAAACCCTAAACCCTAATCCCTAAAACCCTAATCTGGTTCGCACCATTGAATGGTCATGTACATCTCAAGGACCAAGGGCAGCCGCGCGCTTGGCCGCTTCCTCCTTCTTGCGCTTGGGCTTTACGAAACCTGCTTGGGCCGCATTCAGAGTGCGGTTTAGGGTTTAGGGTGTAGGGTTTAGGGTTTAGCGTTTAGGGGTTTAGGGTGTTTTGACATGCCGGCTGCAGGGAATGGACATTACTAATTCATGGCCGGGGGTTCATGACCACGTACGGCTTTTGAAAGCAGCCATGCCTACATGATGTAGTCTTGAATGGTATGCGGATTTTGAGTGCAAGTTCTGGCCACGGGCACAGGATTCAACTTTGGCCTCAAAACCGGAAGACTTTTGCACATTTCGGTTCGCACTCTAATGGGTTGGTGCTGCTTTGACGGTCATTGCACGCACTGTGCACGGTGCACACAATATGCACAATCCCTAGAACCCAAACCCCCCTAAACTCCAAAAAACCCAAAACCCTACCCCCCCCCCAAAAAAAAAAAAAAAAATAAAAATAAATGAAATACTAAAATTTAATAATAATGATTGATAAAAAATATTTAAAAAAAAGAGATAATAATAATAATCGGCCTCCACTTCCTACGAAGATGTCGATGTCGCGGGCGGTCCAGGTGCTGATGTCGGAGGGCCATGGCAAGCTGCTCGCCTCCACGCCGGGATACTTCCGCCTGCTGCGAAGTTGAGTGGGATCAGGGTTTAGGGTTTAGGGTTTAGGGTTTAGGGTTTAGCGTTTAGGGTTTAGGGTTTAGCGTTTAGGGTTTGGGGTTTCAGTCTGAAACCTCTCACCCAGGAACCCCTGGGAGGGATCCCAACAAGTAGGACCCGATAGGAGGCTAGGCAGCTCAGTAAGCATAGTAAAATAAGGGCACCCCTGTTTGGGTTGGCTACTTAAAAGTTATAAGGGAACCCAGAACACAACAAGGGTAAAGGGTTTCTACTTTTCGGATCCTCCCACAGGGGTCTGGGCAGAGAGCATGAAGGAAACTCCGAAGTTGACTTGCAACTCAGGGTTTAGGGTTTGTAGGGTTGTGGGGTTTACTTAGGGTTAACGGTAAACAGTTCAAGCCTCAGAAACTGGGGATTCCAGAGTTCTGTTTTGGGTTTCTGACAAAGCTTGCATGGTGCAGCCGAGCTGCAGCACCTCGCCCGTCGCCTCGTGCGATAGGTATGGTGCCTGGTCCACTTTGGCAGCACGGCTCTCCATCCGCAAGGCGGTGTTGAGGTGAGCGGGAGCAGTCGCTGATCTACGATGGCAAAGCCCTATACTTCCAGTTGCTCGCTTCTGCTTTTGGGAACCCTAAACCCTAAACTCAAAACCCTAAACCCTGAACCCTGAACCCTGAACTATTTGAGGTTTTGGGGGGAAGTGCCCACTCACAAGCCGACTCGTCGCTACTTGGGCCAAGGATGCCAAATCCTGGGGCAAATACATGGTAATCTTTGGAATAAAAGGAAGTGTCATACCCCAACAAGGCTAATGAAAGGTGACTAGTTACCTACTCTACTACTATCAATTTGCTTAAGGACACCCTTTCGACCCAAAAGCACAGACAGATGATCCCCATATTTGCCCTTAGGGGGCTCTTAAGCAAACAGTAGAAAGCACCACCCTAAACCCTAAACCCTAAACCCTAAACCCTAAACCCTAAACCCTAAACCCTAACCCCTAAACCCTAAATCCTAAATCCTAAACCCTAAACCCTAACCCTAAAGCTTAAAGCCTAAAGCCTAAAGCCTAAACGGTACCATCTTTTGAGCCCGCGCATAGATCTCGAACGCAAGCTTGAGCCAGCGAGCTCCGTGGGGAACGGCTCAGGGTACCCCAACCCTTTTGGACTTTCGGGTTCAGGGTTTAGGGTTTAGGGTTTAGGGTTCAGGGTTTGTAGGGTTTAAGGTTTGCAGGGTTTTGGGGTTTGAGGTTTAGGCTTTGCAGGGTTTGGGGTTTGCAGGGTTTAGGACTTGTGATTAGGGTTTAGGATGTGTAGGGTTTAGGGTTTCGGGTTCAGGCTCTCTAGGGTTTATAGGTCTTCGAACAGGGATTGCACCATCGGGTTCGGGCCGACCGATTGTGCTTTATCTTCTGGGCACATGCGAGAGTTTAGGGTTTAGTTTAGGGTTGAGGGTTGAGGGTTGAGGGTTGAGGGTTGAGGGTTGAGGGTTGAGGGTTGAGGGTTGAGGGTTGAGGGTTGAGGGTTGAGGGTTGAGGGTTTAGGGTTTAGGGTTTAGGGTTGCGGGACAAAGCCGCTTCGGGAAGAAGCGTGGAGTAAGGCATCGGCGCAGCTTCTCCCAGGAGTCAGCTGCCTCGGCCTGTGCCTCGGGTTGAAGTTGAAACATGCCGGCGCTTATCGTAGGGTTTAGGGTTTAGGGTTTAGGGTTATTTATTAAGGGGCCATGAGGGGATACTAATGTGTAATTGTTCTGACCCCTATATTGCCCCTCTCACAAGAATATTCTTCATACCCTAAACCCTATAGTAGAAGACAAAAAATTGGAAACTCAATAGCCTCAATCCCTAAGAGTAAAGTATAGCGAAGCCCAGCACTATTTGTCCTTAAAAGGGTTTCCAAGTTTTTGGGGTTTACCGTATCCCTACCCAAAGGCTCCTATGTAGTACATGTTTCGGGTAGTATACTAGAATCCCCTTTAACTAACCCGAAACCCTAAACCCTAAACCCTAAACCCTAGATCCAAAAAGGAACTCAATTAGAGCCTTCAGGTAAAGTAGGCAGATTGTCCTTTCAGGCCTGTATCCTGAATTCTACATGCACCCTGGAACAACAACAGCGGAACATCCCATCAACACCTGAACTTTCCACCCCCAAACCGTAAATCCTCTCGGAATTCCGACAGTTCTCGGAGGGGGGAGGGTTGGATTTTTTGTTCGATTTGGGGTATTTTCGAATTTAGGTGTCCCTTATTGGGGTCCTTATTCTAAGGGAATCCTGCTATTTGGGGGTCTACTAGGCACCCCCCGATTTTCGTAAACCCCCATTTAGAGCTTAGGGCCAACCCCCCAGGCCTTGGGGACTGAAGTTAAGGCTGAAGCTGAAGGGAATTTTCGGCTTTCTTCAGTTTTTCTGAGGCCTCAGGCGCCCCGATTGTTGACACCGGAGTTTGAGTTTTATGGCGTTTACCTATTTCTGTGAGCCTGATGGTTGAAAGCCTCACTCATTCCATAAGACACGAAATAAACTACGAGAGCCGTGCCTCATGGAAAAGGCTGGACTGCGTAGACCACTGGTGCCAGCTCTCTTCGATCTGGTCCTCGCGCTCACATGCAAGCAGCCGCGCATGGGGCAGGGCTGTGCATCATGTTCACAGCTTTGGGTGAGTGCAGCAGACACTTGCCAAATGAAGTTTCCCTTCCCAGCGCAAAGTGCAATGAATGTGACATAGCTTAGCATAGAACAGCATATATGCACACGTGTGGCTACCTGTCCTCCCAAAACGCCACGCGCCGGGACAACGAAGACGTCAAAGTCCTGCGAGTTAGGACGCCCAGCTTGTTATAACTGCTAAGGAGCAGATAAAAGCAAAGATATCGATATATGTGCGAAACAAAGATGTACATCTGTCTCTCCTTCTCTCTCTCTTTGTCTATGTGTATGAGATATACATATAGTTATTGGTTCATATTTAGATTTATGGGTACAGATATAAGTAGAAAGAACCTTTGCATATCAGGCGTCCTTAGATCCGGCGCGAGGACCAGCTCTTCTGCCTGACAGGAACCGCAGGTCTGGTTCTGAGTTTGTCGCTTTCCTAGCCCACCCTGCCTGTGCAAGCAGCTCCTGCTTCTGCTCCACAACACCTGTCTTGAAGGCCTGTCGTGGGCATAGCAGACGAACGACTCCAGCACCCGCGCAAGGAGGAGGTTGGGGATCAGGGTTTAGGGTTTAGGGTTTAGGGCTTAGGGTTTAGGGTTTAGGGTTTAGGGTTCAGGTTTCAAGGTTCAGGGTTCAGGGTTTAGGGTTACAAGTGTGAGGATCTCATGTCAGCATAGGTCAAAAGCCCCAGACACATGGATGTCTTGCCCATGTTAGCTCTCCAGTATCCTAGTCTAGTGGAAATAAAGGTCAACCTTTGGAAGTATAGAGGGATTCTGATACCCCAAAAAAAGGGTTAAAAAAGGTTACCCACTCTACTACTAAGTGGAACCCTAAACCCTAAACCCTAAACCCTAAACCCTAAACCCTAAACCCTAAACCCCAGGAGCCTCCAGAATGACTGCCAGATCTGTATCAGATCTGGCGATTCGGAGAAGGCCCGTGCGCGGGTGCCTTGGACGAGTTGGGATTGTGGTCTCCCTGCCTTCAGCTGAACAGGGTTTAGGGCTTAGGGGGTTTAGGGTTTAGGGTTAAGGGTTTAGGGGTTAGGGTCACATGTTTCGCAGCATCATGGTGGGCCTTTGTGAACATTGCGCCGGCTGCAAGTATACATTACCCGCCATGAACTGCGCCGCAAAAACCCTTGGGCCGCACTTTCCACACAAGTCGTGATGCTGGTCTGCCTGGCATGCGAAGTGAGTACGGCAGGCCATCTTGCGGCAAGTCTACTGATCTGAGACTGCATAGCTTTTCATTTATACGGTCAAAATTCTGTACCTCAGTCAAAGGCACACTCATGAAAAGATCCCAAGCCACAAGCCGCAAGCCCCGCGCGCGTGACACATGCTGATGCAGGAGGAACCACGGCTTGTGGCTCTTTCTCTCGCTGCCTCCGGCTCCCTCTCCGTCTGTCTGTCTCTTCCTTTATTTCTTTCTTTCTTTGGGGCTTGGGGGTGACCCCCCTCACTCTAGGCGCGCCCCGGCGTTGTTGTGGAGGACTGAGTGCAAGCTCTGGTGTCTAAGACACACGGCACTCTCTCTCTGTCGCGCTCGCTCTCTCTCTCTCTCTCTGTTTCTGTCTCTCTTTCTCATTCCTTCCCTCCATCCCTCTCCTACAACGTACCTAAACCTCAGCCACCGTTCAGTTTCTGCAAAACGCCCTGGGCGTCTGGCGGCCATCCGCATGGATAGTCTTTGGACCGTTCAGCGAAGGAACAAACTGCCTCCTCTGCCTCGCTGGGTTTCAGCTAGAAGGTGGTTTAGGGTTTAGGGTTTAGGGCTAGGGTTTAGGGTTAGGGACTAGCCTCAGCACTTCCCGCAACTGCGTGCATTGCTGGATGTGTGGAATACTGGCTCTATGCATCAGGAGCCCTGCAAAGAATTTGTTTCGGAGTTCAGGGCTGCACCAGAGGTACTGCCTGAGGCATACATACAAGCTTGGATCCATTCCCTAAGGGTCCATGCACCCCTCTCTCTCTCTCTCTCGCAGACTCGGGAATCCGTACCTCATTATTGTGTACCTGGCCTTTTTCGCAAGTACGTACTTTAAGCCCCAAGTATTGCCTATGGTACATGGACCCTAAACCCTAAACCCTAAACCAGTCTGGTTTAGGGTACGTAAACCCTTTGTACATGGACCCTTAGGGCTTGATTCAACAGCCAAGGGTGTCCTGTGCTTCGATGGCCGCGCAGCATTGTGCCAAGGACTTCGCCCCTTAGAGCAGATCTCTCTCACCCTGAACCCTAAACCCGAAACCTGAAAAACACCTAAAACCCTAAACCCTAAACCCGAGAAAACACCTAAAACCCTAAACCCTAAAAACCCTGCAAAACAAAAAACAACAACAACAAGCCCTGAGCCTTAAACCCTAGACTGGACCTGACCCCGTATCCCTTCCTTGCTTCTGGGCTTAGCGTTTTCATGCCGTCAAAGACGCCCCGATGCCCAGCTGCCATACTACGGGTTTAGGGTTTAAGGTTTTGGGTTGAGGTGAGGGTTTAGGGACTACACACCTTCTTTGGGCAAGACCTCTACGGCGGAAAGAGTTTTAGAGACTTAATGTCAAGCATGCGGATGGACGGACGGCTTCCGCGGTGGACTTCAGGATAGTCGGCAGGCGGTCGGAGCTTCGAGAATGGTCTTGGGCTTTGAGCGTTTTGCGAATTTTGGGTGTTCGGCTTGCAACCTTCCCGCTTTGGGCTTATAAACTCTAAAGTACTCTAAGTAAAGCCTATAAATCTTCCGAAGCCCTCAGCCCTAAACGTCTGAGTCTTAGGATTTGGGGGAAACGACTTGCCTAAACCCCCGGAAAGTATGGCCCTCACACTCTAAACCCTAAACCCTAAACCCTAAACCCCGAAAAGTATGGCCCTCGCTGGCTTCGGGGCGAACTTCGCCGTCCGCCTCCAGGCGCGCTCTGCTTGAACGGGGGGTGGTCGGGGAATGAAGGTCTCTCGGAGGCTTTTGGGGTTTAGGACTGTTTAGGGTTTAGGATTCGGGATGCGACTTGGTACACTTCTCGATTAGGATTCGGGATTAAGGTTTAGGGTTTAGGGTTTAGGGTTTAGGGTTTAGTGTTTTGGGTTTAGGGGTGTATGGGTTTACAGCAGAGGGCTCTGGGGCCAGGCATGCGGGGGTTAGGGGCTTACGTCCACCCTGTGACGATCTCTGCTTCTGGGCAGCACCAGACCCCAGCTATAGGAATGATAAAGGTCCTTGCCACCCACCAACCATTCCTATGGGGCTGGGGACCGGTAAGGCTTTAGGGTTCAGGGCTTAGGGTTGAGGACATTTCTTCAGGAATGCTTGCACTGCAGCTGTTGGTAGACCCTTGAACCCTACACCCTAAACCCTAAACCCCTCCCGTAATAGCCCCTTCAAGTCTGCCACCTAGAACCCTTATAACCCTTCTAGAGTCTGGGTTTCGGTATGGCTTTTGGTACCTAACTGCATCATACTCATAATACTACATGAGGGTTTACGAACATAAGGGGCCTGAGTATAGACGCCCAAATAGTAGGATTCCTTTATAATAAGGACCCCAAGATGCGGACCCTAAACCCTAAACCCCCTCTGGGTTTCATGGCACGGAAACTCCCGTATGGCACAGAAAAGAGGCCTGAGCAAACTCCGCCCTGAGCATCTTAAGCTCCTTTTTTTTGGGGGGGGCTCAGGGTTGTTGGGGCCCTCAGGGTTCTTCTGGGTTGAGGGTTTAGGGTTTAGAGTTTGGGGTTTAGGGTTTTTGGGGATCTACGGTTCAAAGGGTTTGAGGGCTTTGGCGGGTTTTTCGGGGCTTGCTTGGCTTTAAGGGCTTTGGGGATGTCGGAGCCGGCTTTGGGGATTTTTTGGGGGTGTCTGAAACCGGCTTTGGGGTGGTGAGGCGATGGTCTTAGAGGCACCCAAAGGCTCCTATGTAGTTCCTTGTTTGGGTTTGGCTATAGGGGGTTGTAGTATACTACCCTAAAACGGTACTACATAGGAGCCTTGAGGCAGGGTTTAAGATTCGAGGGCCCACCCTGACAGTGAGTTTACGGCATTTTTGCTGGGCCACCGGACTGGCAGCCCAGCAACAGAGCACCACACGAATCCCCGAAACCCTAAACCCTAAACCAAAACCCTACAGAGTCAGATGCCAAGCCATTCTGCCCTTGCGTGGCAGTCCGTAGAGGTGGCGGCACTACGTCGCGCATCCGCCAGCAGGGCGAGATATCTCGGAACGGTGGCTTGGATTTCGTTCGGGTTGCGGGTTGAGGGTTTAGGGTTTGAGGTTTAGGTTCGGATTTAGGGTGTGGGGTTTGGGGTTTTGGGGCTTTTTGAGGAAACAGCATGCGGACGAATATGTTGGCATCGCATTGGGAACATTTTCGGGAGTTCATGGGCTGACGCGAAGTCCCTACTACTATAAGATAGGGTTTAGGGTTTAGGGTTTAGGGTTTAGGGTTTGGGGTTCAGGGTTTAGGGTTTAGGGTTTCGGGTTTAGGGTCTAGGATCTAGGGTTTAGGGTTTAGGGTCATGCTCAGCCCGTCGCGATGGACCACAAGTCAATTGGTTTAGGGCTTAGGATTTAGGGCCGTAGGGTTTGCCCCCCCCCCCCCTAAACCCCAAACCCCAAACCCCAAACCCCAAACCCTGAACCCTAAACCCTAAACCCTAAACCCTAAACCCTGAAACCCTGAAACCCTAAAACCCTAAACCCTAAACCCTAAGCCCTAAGCCCTAAACCCTAAACCCTACGAAAACCCTAAACCCCATTTCATAAACAGGACACCTGCAGTGTTAATTTTTTTCAAGTGTATGCGTGACTCTGGCTCTCGACGTCGCTCCTACATGCTTTTGAAAGAAACCAAAACCCCGAAGCCTATAAACCCTGAGCCCTTCTTGCCCCAAAACCTTATGACCTAAAACCCCTCAACCCGCTGACACTTGCATTGCAAAGGCACGTCCGCTCAGCAGCCGTTAACGCCTC